GCTGCTGCTGCTCCAATTGAATGTTCCACAGGGGTCCCAAATGTTCAAAATTGAGCTCATTATCTTTTCCGTAGTGCCCCTCTCCTCAGTCTCCCTATTTCTGCCAAGGACACCACCATTCTTCTGGTCACTCAGTTTCTCAACCTTGAAGTTATCTTCAACTTTTCTCTCATATCTGTTGACATGTAACTTGTAGCATTTAAAGATTTAGGAAGTCCTCTTCCTAATTCCACCAAAAAGTTGGGTCCTCCAGAACAAAGCCATATCTCTCCCTCAGGGATCTCTTGGTAAACCTGAGTGGTTGGGAGTTGTCTTTCTCTAATACCATAAGCTTGAGTCTCTAGCCCAGTGTGTTCTCCCCAGTGTTAACCACCAAGGATTAGCTATTTTTATTTAACCAATTAACATTAATTAGCTTTTACAAAGGGGATATTTCCTGAAAATATAGAACAAGAACAGAAATACAAACAGAATTCTCCCTCCATCCAACACCTAGGGGGAACACTTTTCCCTGTACTATTTCCATGCCAGGGGTGAGTGATCTAGTCTCCATAGAGCATTCTTTCCCACCAAGTTCACTTCTGAATGTGGCATAGTCAGTGGATGAGTTGCTGTCTCTCACTGTTGGCTGCCTTTGATCTACATCTTTGCTGAGCCAAGCAAGCTCTCAGGATTTCTATCTTCACCAGGTTCAGGTGTCTGTCTGTCATGGACTCCAGCCACCAGTCCTCAGGAAAGTCACCCTCCTGCCTTTTTTGAAGCTCATGAAGTTGCTGCCTATTCTAAGACTCTTTCACTTAAGAGCAGACAAAACCAAATTCAAAGAGGCAAAGAATAGAGGCCTATATTTGAAAACCACAAGTGGGCCTGGGTGGAGTACTTAAAGCCTGGGGCCTTTCTCTTACGACTCTTTGCATCCATTGCGTATTTAATTTTCTGTTTCTGCTTAATATAATGGAAACTTCTTGAACATAGGAGACTTTACATATTTTTTTTCATCGTGTCCCCAGTGCTTGGCACATGGGAGTGAGTTTAATCCAACACACCTGGTTAATAGATGATTCCTCTCCACAGCATCCCCAAAAAGTGGTCATCCAGCCTCCACTTGAAATCTTCTGGTGCCTGGGTACTCATTACCTACAAAGGCAGTCCCTTCCATTTTTAACAGCTTTAATCATTAAGAATTCTTCCTTAGGTTAAACTGAAATCTACTTTACTATTATTTCCACCCACTGGCTGATGTTCAGCCCTCAAGATCCAAGAAGAATATGTTTAATACTACTTCCAAATGACAACTGTTTAGGTATTTGAACTTGGTGATCATGTCACTGTAACTTTCCTCTTATCCAAGCTAATATCTCCAGTTCAATTCAGCAACAAGTTGAAGTAGGTACCAGCTCCATCCCTGGGGAGAGTGAGCTCAAGCTTAAAGCAGTTTCTATATGATATCCTATTCCACCAAGTTCACCTCTGAATGTGACATTGTCACACCTCTGGCAGGTACAAAGTACCTGCTGTATACTCCGCACTATGCTAGACACTGGAAATACAAAAGTAAAAACAAAAAAGTACCTCCTCAAGGCCTTTACAGTCTACTGGGGACTGTCTTCACCCCACTCTCTTATGGCATGGTTTTGAGCCCTTCAACATCTTGGCCTCCCTCCCCTGGACATGCTTGTCCAGGCCCTATAATAACAACTAACACAATATTCGAGATCAGATCAGACCAGGGAAGACTGCAACCAGAATGACCTCTGCTTTGGACATCATAGTTCTGTTAGCCTCAGGTCATGGTAGTTTTTTGGTTGCTGTGTCACACTGTTGGTGCACATGGGGCTTGCAGTCTGCCAGAACATTCAAGTTCTTTCTAATGAACTGTTGTCTAACCATGTCTGTCCTTTCTGGAATTATGCAATTTATTTTAACCCAAATGCAAGACCTTGTGTTTATCTGTTAAGTTACTTAATTATGGCTATTAAATATGGCCCAATCTTCTAGCCTGTCAGGATCTTTTTGGATGACGGTTCTTCTATCTAATGTGTCATCAAGCTTCACGTCATCTGTCTTCCACACATTGGATAAGGGTGCCATCTGTGCTTCCATCCAAGTATTGATAGAAATGTTGAACAAAATAGGGTCAGTGACAGAGTTTTGCCAACATACCACTAGGTGGGAGACAATACATATAAGTGTGAGACAGTTTGAAGAGCTTAACCCTATGTCATCAAAGTGCTAAGCAATATCATATGTAGACGACAAGTACAGTAAAAATTCAGAGAAGAAAGAGATCATTGAGGACTGGAAAGATTCACAAAGGAAGCAAGGCTTAAAGTGGGATCCGAGGTGAGCCTTAAAGGCAGGACCTGACTAGGCAAAAAGGAGGGACATTCCGCATGAGAGAAACATAAGGGGTCAGTATAAGAATGAGGAAAGCATGTTAATGGACGTTAAGGAGTATGTACATTGGGAAATAAAGTTAGTTCATTGGGAAAAGAGCCCAAGATCGTTGATTTTGATTTTCTTTTTTTTTTCTTTTGAGACCAAGTCTCCTTCTTTTACCCAGGTAGGACTTGCAGTAACCATTCACAGACCTGATCCTCCCATCAGTTGGCACAGGATTTTGACAAGCCCTACTTCCAACCTGGGCCACTTTACTCCTCCTTAGGCAGCCCAGTGGCCCCTTAATCACCATATTGGTGCCAGACTTAGTGTAGAAAACAGACCAGCTTAACACACTAGAACTCATAACTCCTGAGCTCAAGAGATCCACCAGCCTCAGTCTCCCTCGATAGCAGCCACCTAGTCTGGAGACTTTGATTTCTGTAAATATTTATTAGAATTCCATTTTTTTAAATCGTTCGGAACAAAAGTACAAGTAAACATTAGTCAGGACAAAAAGTCACACTATTTAACCTAGCGCTATAATTGTACCACTGACACTTCCAGCCTCCACATTCTGAATCAATAATATATGTTCTTTTGTACATATCTGTTTATCTATCTTCCTAAGAGTACATATTGTGATTTTTAAAACCAGCCGCCTAAAACTTCACTAAGACATTTGGGACACCCTGTATAAAATGTTTTATACGCCTTAATGTACAATGTTCCTGTCACATAGGGACTCTTAGTCCTAGCCATCTATATTCAGGTTATGCTGTTTTATTTTATAAACTTCATAGTTAGATTTCAATAGCTAAGCTTTAATGGCTTAAAACTCACTAAGACATTTGGGACACCATTTCAGCCTCACAGTAGCCTCCTAAGACAGTTATTATAACTATCATAAGCTCAGTATTACAGATAAAGAAACAGTGATTTAGAGAGGTCACATGACTTGTCCAGTCACACAACTATTGTGGGAGCTAAGATTCAAAGGCAGGTTTTTCTTACTACAAATACAATCAATCCTCTATCCATTATACTATGCTGGCCTCTTAGAGGTGGGGCCAATAATAACGTAAGGGGCTTTCAGGAGTCCTTCACCAGCTTCTCTGAACTATATCCTCAAAACAAATCATTTTATGGGTATGTGGTATATGTAAGAATGGGGAGACCAATATGTAGTCTAGCCTCAGAAAGCAGTGCTATCTAGTAACCATAATTTATTAGATGGGCATAAAATCCCTTAAAGTAAACACATGCAAGCAAACAGATAGCCCTGAAATAAGCTTAATTTAAAAACAAAATCTGAGTGTGAAAGAGAATCTTATTTATAAAAATACAGGTAAGACTTCTACAGCTGGATTGGGGCAGCTAGGTGGCACAGTGGATAGAGCACTGGCCCTGGATTCAGGAGGACCTGAGTTCAAATCCAGTCTCAGACACATAACACTAACTAGCTGTGTGACCCTGGTCAAGTCACTTAACCCCATTGCCTAACCAAAAAAAAAAAGGAAAAAAAGATTTCTACAGCTGGAGAAGGGAAAAGGAAGGTCTGTTTTTAAGAGGAAATTAAAGCATGTTCCATAGGGAAGGAACTAGAGATGGGTGACAGATTAAAGCATGTGAGAGGGATGATAATTACTAGAGCACCATCTTAGGATGTTGACATCATAGGATGTCAAGGGGATCGAGGGATTTGCCTTAGAGGAAAATAGTAGAATATGTCTGTGGACTAGTTTCAAAGTCTGGGAGCCAGGAAGGGCCAGGAGGGGACACTTGAAGTGGTGGTCCACTGGAGTGTATTGGATTTGGAGTCAGACCTTGTGTGAAGTTGGGCAAATCACTTGATCTTCCTGGGCCTCAGTTTTCTCATCTACAAAATGAGGAGGTTGGACTAGATTAGAGTTTCTTAATCTTTTCTGTGTCTTGGTCCCCTTTGGCAACCTGGTAAAGCCTTCGGATCTCTTCTCAGAATAGTATTTTAAGTGAATAAAATAAAATACATAGATTACAAAGGAAACCAATTATTTTAAAATAAAGATGTAATGTTTTTCCCCTACAAGTTTATGGACTCCCTGAAATCTGTCCATGCACCACAGGTTAAGAATCCTTGGATCTCTGCAGTCTTTGCAGATCTTAATCTGTGATCCTACAATGATGTCTTGCTTTATTCTATTGACCCAAGTTCCTGGATTCATTTTAATTTTGCTGCCTCAAATGTAAGCATCAGGGTTCCCTTGGACATTTTAAGAATTAAGTAGCTATCCACACTATATTACCTCCAGATTAGATGAAAGAACTTTTATTTATTGCAGAAAATAAAGCCCTTGAGGTTATTTGGAGAGTTAATCAATAAAGGTTCCCATCCTTTAATTTGCTTGCTTCTTGAACCTTCCTTTAGGGCTTGTGCTAACCTTAACAGGAGGAGCTTTTTAATTCCGTAAGTTACTTTGTTCCCATGGCATCAATGCTACATAATTAAGCACTCTCTTTTTTTAGCATCATAATAAACCATCAACGATAAATCCAGCTGTTTAGTGTTTTGATTCCTAGTTGATCTTGCCCCAAGGCCCTGTGCTGGGCCCTGTGACAGGCAGCCATCTCTTCTCTCACAGGTGGTACTGTGAAGGGAAGGAACTGGAAAACTCACCTGACGTTCAAATCACCCAGGCTGGAAACCTGCACTCGCTGACCATCACTGAAGCCTTTGAGGATGACACAGGGCGTTATTCGTGTTTTGCTTCCAATATCTATGGGACAGATTCAACTTCTGCAGAAATTTATATAGAAGGTAAAAAAAAATAAGCACAAGTTTTCAATGAATAGTATTAGTGAGTTTTACAATGTTATTCTACAGAGGGGAGGTTTATTTTATTTCTTGTTTAAGATTTTTTTTAAATCCTCTAAATTTTTAGAAGTTTCTCTGAAACCCTGGATTTTCTCTGGGTATTGTTCTTTAACAAATGGATAAAGAGTCTGTTTGGAAATCTTTGACCTCACCTCTTCAGAGGTTTTGTCTGGGGTGCCAGTGAATTATCAGTAAGCCAAATATCAGAGCTCCAGTACTGGTGCTGAGATTTTGCTGCTACTGTTTTTCTGGTTTTGGCAAAAGGACTACAAACACCCTTACTTTAAAAAAAACAATACAACAAAATAATCAACTCTACCTTATTAATATTAGGGCTAGACAAAGGGGCACACAGCCACAGCTACAATGTTTGAAATCTACTTTAAGCCCTTTCTCAAATCTGTGACTGAGGGACTAAAGTGAATTATAGACACTGGAGAATGCCATTACCTTTTAGAGCAACTTGAGAGTCATTCCTAAACAATTTTCATTACAGGCAGGGAGAGTTTCAAACTTAGGAAAACTGGAAGGTTAAAGCAGTTGTTTTGAGTTTTAAGATCTTTTGGATCTGGCCTCAGACATATAACACTTACTAGTTGTGTGACCCTGGGCAAGTCACTTAACTCCAATTGCCTCATCAAAAAGCAAAAAAAGAAAAAAAAAGATCTTTTGGGAGGTAGGTTTTGTTAGTATAGGGAACTCCCAGTGTGCTGCTCTCCCTCTCCACAAATCAGGAACTCACTGGTCTTAAAGAACATCCTGAGGGCCCAATCATTTCTCTACACAGACCCAGAATGGGTCTGAGGCCAGAGTTGAAACCAGTTCTTCCTGAACCCAAAGCCGCCTTTCTTTTTACTGCTGCTTGGTTAAGAAATACAGCAATTTAAGAAATTAGGATAAGAATCTCATGTCTCTCCTCCCTCTTTCCCAGGTGCTTCATCGTCTGACTCTGAGGGGGACGTTAGTAAGGAAGATATGAATCGGTAAGGTTAATTAGGTTGATTTTTGAAACTTTTCATTTTGTTGACTATAAGTTTGTTTCTTAGCTTTCATGCAGTCTTTTAAAAAACTATGAATTGGTTCATTTTTAATTTTTTTTTTACTTCAAGTAGAATTTAAAATCTGCAATTTGGGGGATAAGAGAGTAATGCGGATTCATAGCTGTGTGGTCTCAAAAGAAAGGGCTGGACTGTATTAGGTGAACAATCAGCTGTTTCCTTTGGCTTAGTTATCAGATTAATATCAATATTTCCTCTAAGAAACAAATAGCAATAAAACATGCAAGGGGGAACAAATGATCTTTATGCTGCAACTGCTTGATGTTTTCTGATTAAAATAGTAACAAGAATGACTCAAAGTCAACAAGAAAATCTTGAATTATGGTATGTGATCTTAGATAAGACACCAAACTTCTCTTGACTTCAGTTTTCTTATCCGAAAAAATGAGGGGGTTAATGAAGAAGATGAACAATAATAATGAAGAAGACCCAAAGGTCACTTCCAGCTTAGAAATCTATAAGGCAAACATTTTACTTAGTATATAAAGTATTGTTTATTCAGCTGGCACCAACTGAAGCTGAATTGTATAATGTAATGTTGATAGAGAGATGATCTTGGACACTTAACCTCATTTTCTCATCTATGAAATGCAAAATTCTTTTACCTCCCTAAATTGATAGTGTTCAGTAAGATAAATTCTGAAACCTGGGCTGTTTACACAAATAACACAAGGCTTTGTTAAATATCACTGTGTGCTGAGCATGATGCTAATTCCTAGGGGAGATAAAATAGTGAGATAAAACATGATATCTGCTTACCCTAAAGGATCTTATAGTCTAGTTCTGCTCAGAAGAAAAGTGCTCAAAAACCTATAATAAATTCTAGCATTAATCCAAGATAATCTATTATCATCATCAAAAACCTGAATTTGGGACTTTATTGGTATAGGAAACTGCATGTATGGAACTCTATCAATCCAAATTTGTAGCTATTCTGCAATGTAAAGCCTTAGAAAATTTGCTAGGTCATGACAAGGTTAAATAACTTGCCCAAGATCTCAGGAGCTAGAATATGTCCAGGTGTTCCTGAATCTAAAACTGGCTTACTATCCATGCTGCCTGTTACATCATTCTCTTGAAGTACCAGGCAAAGTAATTCAACTATGATTTTGCTTTTGTTTTCTCCAACTTTTATCTATTATAATCATTCCATTCACTATAGGATTTACATTCATTTGAAGCACTGTGGTCCAAGACATGACCTAAAAACATTGGGCTAAAAGTCAAATGCCCTGAGTTTTTAGACTGACTTCATTACTAATTACATCATTATTAACTACTAACACTATTAGCCAGCAGTATGACTTTGGAAAGAAAGTTAGCTTATCTGAACTTCAATTTTCTTATCTACAAAATAGAAATGATACCACTCACTCTGCCAATCTCATAGGACTGTAAGAGAGAGAATGAAAATGCTTTTATACTAAAAAGCAATGCACAGATTCTGAGACTTTATTTTAAGTTTTGTCCTGGAGTCACCCCAACAGAAGTCTTGCTCTAATGCCTCATTGTGACATAAGTTCCCAAAGCTTATGCCAATGGAGTACAAATTCTGGAAGCTTATGCCAAGAAGAGTATGGATCTATTGGTGTATTGGATGTGTATATTCCTAAAAAACAAATTATGTAACAAAATAAACTTAGTTTCTTATGTAATCCTTTCTTTTTCTTCTTTGTATATTGATATGTTTGTTTATGATTGTTAAGTTCACACATACACACATAAAAAGAAAATTTAGAAGAAAAGATTCCACCAAACCAGACTCCTGAAATAGTCTTAGCAACAGACTAAAGACAAGCCCAGCTTAGTGTGGAGAGGCTCACCATTTAGTGATGAATTTTTTGTCTATGGCAACCCAAGAACAAAAGGAAAATACAAAATGATGTCCTCGGTGTGATGTAGGCTGCTTTTGCAATGATCATGGTGGAGTGGTAAAAGAGGGGGTTTGTTGTTCATTTTTCGGCCATGTCTGACTTTTCATGACCTCATTTGGGGTTTTCTTGGCAAAGATACTGGAGTAGTTTGCTAATTCCTTCTCCAGTTCATTTTACAAGTGAGCAAACTGAGGCAAACAGGGTAAAGTGACTTTCCAAAGGTTGTACAGCTAGTACGCGTCTGCAGCCAGATTGGAACTCAGGTCTATCTGACTCCAACCTGGCACTCTATCCATTACGCCACCTAGCTACCCTGAAAGAAGGGGTAGAGGATGCTAAAACCAAACCAAACCATAGTAATCTGTGCTCTAAATACAAGATCCTTGTCCAATGACCAATGAGTTGATCTGGTACTGGAGGAACTGAACCATTTGCAGTATAATGGGTAGAAAGCTGGCCGTGAAACCAGGAAGACCTAGGTACAAAGCCCACCTCTGACTCATACTGGCAATTGGACCCCAGGCAAGGCATTAAACTTCTCAGTGCTCTAGGCAGCTGATTCTGTATATCATCATCATCAAGAAGGTGTCAGCCTGCAATGGTAGAGGGAATTTCCTAAACTAAAGAGTTTTCTATAGCAATGAAATACAGGTCCAGTCATAATCTTAAATACAAGTGAAACTAAAAATCATAAGAAAGATGACCCAAAGTTTCTTTTCATAGAAACAAATAATTACCTGTTTATTTTATCGTGGACCTAAGAAATATAATTACAATTCACCTTGAGTTGCTCATGATTAGCTAAATATAACCCCAAAAATGAAGTTAGCTATATCCCACTGGGCAGGAAATGACTGGTTAATTATGTGGAAGTCATTTCTAAACCAGTTGTTTGTGGATAGTTAAATCATTGATTGGTTAGAGTAATAGCCAAAATCAAAAACGAGTTAAAAGAAAGCATAAAGATGAGAAGAACAGACTGTATGCAGCTACAAGAGATTCAACCTGCTGTATTCATTCTATCTGTAAGTACAGAAAAAGAGAAATGTATAAAGGAAAAGACTGATTCTGAATTGCCATTCCCAATAGATGTCTACCCAGTATAAAGCAATGGCCACAACAAGGAGGCCAAAAGAATCTAGAAACCACCCTAGCCGGTAAATTCTTGATCCTCTTCACAAGCAGAGAACTATAACAGCCTGGGACAATGCTGACTTAGGTTATAAACTGCTTTTTAAAACACTACAGAGGTAAATTTAATTCAACAAAGATAAGTTAAGCCCCTACTCTGTATAAGGTACTTAATGCTTGGTGCTAGAGATACAAATCTAAAAATTAAACAGCTCCTGCCTGCAAGAAACTTGCATCCTACTGGTGAGAGCCGCAGGGAATCAAACATCTATACAAATAAATATAAGGAAAATTGAGACTAAGAATGCATTAGCAACTGGGGAGATCAGGAAAGGCTTCAAGGAGGAGGAGGTACCTGAGCTGAGCCTTGAAGGGAGCTAGGGATTCTAACATTCAGAGGTAAGGAGGAACTCCAGGCATGGGAGACAGCTCACTTAAAGGTACAGAGGTAAAAGACAGAATATTGAGTTCAAGGAACCACTGGTGGTCCAGTTTGACAAGAATATGGAGGACTGCAAAGGAAGTGATGGGAAATAAGGCTGGAAAGGAAGGCTGGAGCCAGTTTCTAGAGGGCCTTAAATACCAAGTTGAAGAGTTTGTATTTTAACCTGTGGACAATAGAGACCACTGAAGGGTTTTGACAAGGGGAATGGCATAGTCTCCGTGTCTTAGTGTCTTAAGAAGATTAGTTTAGATTAGAAGATTAGGCAATTCTGTGGAAAGTGAATGGGTGAGGGGAACTTTTGGAAGCAGAGATACCAAAGAGAGCGCCTTTGTAATGGTCCAGAAAGGAGGTGATAAAGGTCTGAAGTAGGGTGATGACTGTCTACATGGAAAAGAAAGGGACAGATGCAGGAGTGTGGTCAAGGGAGAAGGAACAAAACTTGGCAATTGGATGGATGGAGGTGCAGTGAGGGGAGGGGAGGGGACATGGAAGAAAGAAAAACTGTGATCTTAAATGACTGAAGGATGGTCGCGACCTTGACAGAAATAGGGAAGTTAGAAGGAAGAAAGATGATGAGGCAAGGTTATACAGGTTTTCTTGAAAAATACAACCCAGCTACGTAGCGCAGTACATAGAGCACCAGCCCTGGAGTTTGGAAGGCCTGAGTTCAAATCTGGCCTCAGACACTTACTAGCTGTGTGACCCTGGGCAAGTTACTTAACCCCAATTGCCTTGCCAAAAAAAAAAAAATGCAACGCAGAGGTAAACTTTGTTCAAAGATTCTGTTTATAGATATCAAATGAGGCATAAAATAAGTATAGTTGATGAAGGTATTTGCCACTTTCCTAGAGGATGGGATGGAAAGAGGGATTGCCTATAAATGCTGAGGTGCTCTAGATGTTCTAGTGTGCGGGTGACATTGTATGAATTGCGTCCAACGGCAGAATCCTCTAGGGCCTCCTCAGGGAGACCTGTGGCTCTCTGTAACCCCTCTGCTGCTGCCCTGGAGGAATGTCATACTCCTCCTTTTGTGAATAAATGCAAATCAAAAGTACACATAACTCTAGGACATCGAACACATTGTGTTCAGGGGCAGCCCATTGTCCCATCCTTGAGAGAATCTATCTGCACTGAGTAGTGGGCAAATGCGGTAAGACTGCACTGTTTTAAATATTTCACAGGGCCCAGAAGCCGAGTGAGGTGTCCTCACCTCCTACTAATTCTGCGGTCACCCCGAAGGAAGGCGCAGAAGCACAGCCTAGAGTGGTCCGGCCTCACCTGTCTACCGTTCAGCAGGTATGAGAATCCAGGCTTCCCAGGCAAATGAATCCATTCCCAATACTTTATTGTCTCATGCTACAATTTAAAAGGCAGAGAGCACATATAGGATGTCACACTGGGCATGGGGGTGTGCCTCACCCCATGAGACTTGATTTTCTAACTATTACAGCCTGTCTCAGAGAGCACAGCTATGGTGATACTGCTCACAGAATAACTGATTTCTGGTGTTGTGATATTTTTTTCTGTGATAACTGCTCATTTCTGTTCATTGGCAGTGCCAAGGGATGAAATTTTTCTTCTAGTCCATTAGAATACTTCTGTAGCAAGTAGGGAAATTATAGGTAAAAATAATTAAATAATTTACATCGAATTAACAAAATTAATTACTGGATATTAAATTAACAAAATATGAAAAATTTCTCACCAAATTTATAGAAAATTAAGATGGCTCTTCACTTGATCAGTTAAAAAAAACTGTGGCTTTTGATCTATTAGTACCCATTTTACCACCTTTTAATAACTATGCAGATTTCTGGAAAGAAAAGGATTGACTTTAAGTCCAAAGTAGTCTCTATGGTACCCAAGCTTAGGGTTGCCTCATAAGTTCCTCTTGGGAAGAGCAATTCCCCGCATTAACTGTTTTAGAGGCCAGATCTATACAGAAAGATTGCATTATCTCAGTGGCCGAGGTATTTGTCACTGTTCCTTTTTCTTTTAATTTTCAGTGTCAGAGTCCCACAAACTACTTACAAGGACTGGATGGAAAACCTATAATAGCAGCTCCTGTGTTCACAAAGGTAATTGAAACTTAATCTCCCTCTGATGTGACTTTAAAGAAACCACAATAACTGCACCAACTCAGAAAATCAAAATTGTTGGGTGTTCTTTAATGTTACCTCAGGATATGAATTCACCAGGAAAAATTTCTGGTAATAGGTACAACCCCAACTTTCCACTAATGGCTTCCCCGTCGCCAAGCAAGTCCTTCCACACTCACAATATTCTTTTTGGTTGTAAATTGTCCCCAGGAGTTTTCAACACACCTTTACTGGCTCCAGTTTCCATTTCAAGTGAATGTTCATCCCTGATGAGAGCAGGTCCCTTTGGTTGTCATTAGTCTGCTCTAGTCTGTACTTTGGTTTTCACCGGTGGTATTTCTGCAATTTGAAGCTGGTGGTTGGGTCCCAAGCTCATGCCTACAAAGGCACAAGTAAAAGTCCACCCACATCACATGATGCACTTCTCTCTGTAGCTGAGCTTTACCAAGGTAAGGCTCATCATCACTGGGCTGCCCTCCAACTGATGAGGTTTTTTCTGCCACTGCAACTCATGAAGCTACCTAGGAAAGACTGCTAGGAGTAGAAATGAGAGCACAGAGTTTAGAGTCAAGAAACCTGAGTTTGAATTCTGCCTCAGAAACTTACTAGCTGTGAGGCTAGAGGCAAGTCACCTAACTTGTCAGGTTCTTCACCTGAAAAAATCACCGCAAGCTATAAAGAGCTGTACAAAAATGAACCGTCATTGTTGTCATCATCATCATCTACAATCTGGGCAGGCAGTGATCTGGGTCAGTGGAAGATATACCTGTGCAGGTGACATCACAGTTCCTTAAAGTACCAAGCAGTGATTCACACAGCAGCACTGGGGGCTAGCTCGCCAGGAGGGAGCTAGCTTTGATCCCTCGTCTTCTAGAAACTTGCTTTAGTGCCTCAGTGATCAAGACCCTGTCTATATGCTTCCGTGTTCAGGTGATTTTTCCTCAAGAAAAAATCATAAGCAAGGCTTTTCAGAATTGACTTTAAAAGTAGCTCTCGGCAGAGCCAAACTGTGTAGACTCTTCCTCTGCCATAAGCTTTCAGCTCCATAAATGGAGCACACACTCCTTGGGCGTGTACAGGGCGCTAGTAAGCATTGGCCCCACGCCCCCGGGATTCAGCAGCATCCACACACTTGCATTAGTCGCCGTCAGGGAGGGCACTGCTGAGGACAGTCACTGCCAGCGTCATTAGCCACACATTTCTCTGAGTCAGAGTCACTGACAGCAGTGCTCATGTGTCTGTGGGCCATGGCAACAAACCCTTGTATGCACTTTCATTTAGGCTATTCCTGTGCTGTTTCCTCACCTTTGGGCGCCAACCTAACACCTCTCCCTCACGACCTATTCTGTCCTATAATGATAGGGTCTTTTTCATTGAAGCCAAGAAATCATCATTTGTATTCTTAAAGCACACGTGTTGGTCTGTGGAGCACAGTTCTGTTTTTAAGCAGCATATCATTTATCCTTAGATTTCTTTGGGGTTAATGGGAACTCATTTTATCATCATTTTAGAGTTGGGGGAAATGAAGGTACACAGAGAGAGAATGAATTGCCTAAAGCTCCCCAACAAATGGGTGGTAGAGTGTATGACTGGATCATGGAGTTACTTCATCTTAGTTCAGGCCTGGACCAATAGGAACCATCTTTTACAAGACTTTTTATGTGACTTTAGATAAGGAGAGGCCTCACTAATAAAGTATTTCCCTACAAGTCCAAACAGTACAGTATGAAGTATTTTTGTAGGGAAAAAAAGAGCACTACCACTTGATGAGGGTGAGAGGCTGCTGACCCCCTCCCCACTCCCACGCCCACAGCAGCTGCTGCCCTGGTTCCCGCTCCAAGGCTTCAGAAGCCCTGGCTCCAGCAGTTTCAGCAGTAATTTGAAGAGGGCAGGGGTAGAACAGGTGGGGGAAGGGAAAGGTAGAAGAGCAGGTCTGTTATATAACAGCAGAGACAGGAAAACCCGGAACAACCATGCTAGGGGTCTGATCCAGAATTCTAATGACTACATGGACAAACTCAGACCATTCTTTTTTCCGGATTATTTTCTAACTCAGCATATGCACTGATCTGTGGTGGAATTGAAGCTAATAGATTCCTAGCTTTGTGTAGTTATTATGCCCCCTGCCTTCCTCACAGGCATGTCACAAATATGACAGAGGTACCAACAGAAGTTGTATAGAAGAAGACCTGTAGCTGAACCTAGAACATTAGTAGAGCAAGAAAAAACACTGGCTTTGCTCATTCTGCCCTTTCCCCTCTTCATCCTCCTCCCCTACCCCATTTCATAGCTGAGAAAACTGAAGCTCAGAGAAATTACATGAAGAGGCAGCAAAATTCTATAAAGAGCTCAGTAAGACCCTCCAAATTAAATCAACACGTTTTAATAATCAATGATTTCAGTGCAAAGATGGAAATGGGGGTGAGGGGAAATTGAAACATGTGAGAAAATATGGTCCAGGTATGAAAGTCTTCACATATGTGAAGACTTAGAAAAAGATCAAACATTGGGGGAAATAATATCTTCTAGAAATTGGCACTAAATTGCAGAAAATACAACAATTCTTTATTTTTATAATATACTTTCCCATTACAGATGCTGCAAGATTTATCAGCCTCTGAGGGTCAACTAGTTGTTTTTGAATGCAGAGTTAAAGGAGCACCATCCCCCAAAGTTGAGTGGTACAGAGAAGGGACATTGATAGAAGATTCTCCAGATTTTCGAATTTTACAGAAAAGTAAGTTGATTTTATTTAGTGCATTTCATTTGTTGGATTTTAGATGTTGGATTTAGATTCATTCGTTGGATTTTAATTCATCCCAGTTTGTAACATGTAAAAGTGTTGAAATGCGTTTAGACCTTTGTTTCTGCATAATCAAAAAATATTTATACTTTACAAAATCTTTACAATTCAGTTGCCGTTAATTGTTCCAAGGTCGTTGTCGTCTCCTCCTCCTCCTCCGCCTCCTCCTTCTTCTTCATCATCATCTCCATATTTCTATTCTAAGCAGGGTCTTAGGTACGTTAATAAGGTATCCATGAGACACAGCTAGCACAGTAGATATCTCCAATTTAAGGGTCTGGTTCAACTTATAAGACAGGATTTATTCTTGGTGGAATACTCAGGTATGTTCTAATGTATATCACTTATTTACCTGCTCTTACTATAGCCATTCTGAAATGCTATTCTGTTCTTGCTGTCATAATTAGCATTTATTTCATTTTACTTAGCATTGATTTACAGAGCTTATTAAATCAGTTCTAAAAATAAGTGCATATAGAATTCCCTAGGAAGTATTAGAAGAAAATATAATATGCATAAGTGAATTCTCTCAATCCAATAATTTTTTTATTCTTTTTTTTTTTAGAACCACGGTCCATGGCTGAACCAGGTAAGAGGTCATTTGAAACTTAACCTTTCTCAGTCTCTATAACCTTTCTCTGCTCTATAACATAAAGGTAATAGTAACATTTACCTCTTAGTGTTGTTGAGAAGATCAAATGAGACAGTATATGTATTTTTAAAACCTTAAAATACTGTGTAAATGTTAGCTATTACTATTATTTCAGTTATCCATACTGTGGCATTCCTGCTACGACAACTGTATTTCTTTTTGAATCTAGATGCAACTTATCCAGTTATTGCTAATAGTTGTTGCTAATAGCTATTGTTAGATGTTAGATGAGTTCAAGTTTGTTATCATGTAGTAATACTGTTTCTTGGGGGAGCTCCCCACTTTGTAACATTTTCATGTTAAAGGCAGGTCTTACAAGGAGGACACTGGCTACACTAAGTGATTTCAGGGCCCCTTTTAGGGTCTCCCGTACTCAACCGCCTGATTACAGAAATTTCATGATTAAAGATTCTTTTTCCCCCTTAAAATATAAATACCCCAAAGGAAAATGACCCATTGTCTTAATAGACATTAATACCTTAATGTGAGATATGTTACATTCTTTCCTGGAGACCCATTTTGTTGGGGGAAAGGAAATATAAGATTAATAAAAGGTGGGGGACCAAAGGGCATCTAGGTGGCACAGTGGATAGAGTACTGGGCCTGGAGTCAAGAAGACCTGAGACATTTACTAGCTATGGGATCCTGGGTAAATTGTTTAATCCCATTTACCTCAGTTTCCTCATCTGTAAAATGAGCTGGAGAAGGAAATGGTGAACCCCTCCAGTACCTTTATCAAGAAAATCCCAAATGGGGATTCAGCTCATCTTACAGAATCCTAGAAATAGAAAATGGGAAGTCATCTAGGCCAGTCTCCTGCCAATACATGGGCAGTATTTTTGGACTAAATTAGCTAAATCATGCAGCCAACCAGTCAATTTAGTTCAATAACTGATTTGACAGATTTTGTTCTCATTGGATTGGCCAGCTATTTGGCTAAATGGACTAATTCATTAAGTTGTCTTGACATTATATATCGGCATAGTATTGGACCAGTCATTTCTGGTGTCCTTTAAAAGTATGAATAAAGTATTACACAGTTAAAGGTCATCCTTTAAGGATTCTGTGTCTCTGTGTTTGAGTTTAATAAAGTACTTTGTCTTAGAGTATGTGCTTTTGCAACTCAGGGAACTGAATCCAGGGGATTTCTCTTGACTGGGGTCTCTGAGTCTTTTGCCTCCTCTTCATATGTCTCTAGGCAAAACCAGTAAAATATAGATTTGAAAAAAAAAAGTATGAATACCTCCAACATTGTTCCTTATCAAGAAGCACTCTCCTTTTCTGGTTTCTAGAGGAGATTTGTACACTGGTCATTGCAGAAGTGTTCTCAGAAGATTCTGGGAATTTCACTTGTACGGCAAGCAACAAGTACGGCACAGTGTCAAGCATTGCCCAGCTGACCGTGAGAGGTATGGACTGATCCTAATGGGCCTTTTCACTTTAAAATGTCAGGGCAGGTTAGGCAGTGACATTAAGTATCAATGTGGAGATTAATGTTAGCCTCCCATCTGCAGCTGTCCTTGGTATCTTTCATAAGTCATTGAATCATTGGGGAAGACATTCTTTGGACACATTCCAGTTATTGATATCCTCTCTCTCCCTTCCTGAGGATAGAATCCCATTCCACATGCACCACTTGTGCTTGTCTCTGTTACGCACAAAAGGAGACCCTTATCTTTCTAGTCTTATGTAAGCTAGTCCTAAAATACTTCCCTAAATAGCGCCTTTTTTTTTGTTGCCACAGCATCATCACACTGTGTGCTTAGATTAAATTTCTAATCCTTTGAAGCTCCCGAGTTTCCTACATTCTTCTTTTCTGACAAGTGTTCTGCCATTGCATGTCTACCTGGTAATATTTGAGACATACTGATCTTTGGAGTAAAAGAACATGGGTTCAGTTCAGCTTTTCCACTTACTAGCTGTTAGTGGGCAAGCCACTCAACCCCTCTGAGACCTAGATTCTCCTGTGTAAAACAGGGATGCTAGGACACTATGCACCTCAAAGAATTATTGTGAAGATCAGAAAGAAACGTACATGTAAGGTGCCTTACTTCAGTTAATTTTTTTCAAGTGCTATATAAACGTAAGCTTTTATTATTCTTCAGTCTGTTGTCACTCATCTACCGAAGTATGAGTGTGTTATTATGCCTGTCTAACCCCTACCCAGGTCCACAAATCCTTAAGCCCAAGTTCCGTATTTTTTGTTCTTTAAAAAAAATATTGTATTGATTCCTTTCCATATTTGTTCTTTCAGGGACTGAGGACCATAGCAATAATATCACTCCCCACAGAGCCAATTCCACGGGCAACTCAACTGTTGTCGAAAACCCACCATCCCCACCTAACCCAGAGCCGCGTTCCATGGAACAACCCCCCAAACCCAAACTTGAAGGAGTTCTGGTGAATCACAATGAGCCCCGATCCAGCTCTAGGATTGGTCTTCGAGTACACTTCAATTTACCTGAAGATGACAAAGCAAGTGAAGCATCTACTGAAGATGGAGCAGAGGTTGCTGACCAGATCCCTGCTGACCTTTCACAGGATCGGTTCAGTGGGCAAACAGCAAGGATACCTGAACCTCCTTCACCTGTCAGAGAGCCCCCTCCTGTACTAGCTAAACCAAAACTGTGAGTAAAAAGCAAAACGGCAAGGTGTTTCTTCTCTCATGCTTTCTTAAAATTCTAGGGATGGGAAAGGGCTCTACGGGTCATCTAGTCTGTTCCTTTGCCTCCAAACAAATGTCGTGACTAAATGCTGAGGTAGTCGCTATAAATGGGGGGGGGGATGTCTTTACTGTTGAAGGCCCAAGGGGCAGAAATTTGTGTCACTTTGGTGCAAAATACATTCCAAGTGTTTAACAACTTCTTTTGCTTAGGAGCTCTTCCTTCTGCCTCTATTCTCTGGTTCAAGTTTAAGCCTTCAAGAAAATACAGAACGGCTGCTAGCTTTTTCTTACCATTTCCTTTCTCTTAATGGACAAACTAGTCAGTTCCATGTGTGTGTAACAGTATTAAAAGTTCAGAAGAGCCATGCTTTAAAGGCAGGCCAGGATTTTAGATCTAAGATATTCCATAAGAAAGCATGACAAGGAAGGACACCAGAAGTGCCCTAGGAGGAAAAGAAGTGTTCATGGGGATGCTCTGTATTCCTGGTTTGTTCTTATCTACTCCTACACCTAGTTAGCACTGGGACAGAAGATACCGGATGGCAATGTGGGGAGAGAAAGCTAATACTTCTTCTTACCATCAAAGTTTTAGATTTCAAATTGCTGACATTAAGACTGGTCCTAGGCAAAGCCACAAGGGCAGCAGATTTTCTTCAGGTCCCCTCTATTTCCCCTTTTTTATATCTTCCTTACCTTCAGCACCCCATACCTCCCATGTTCCTGTTGGTAGCATCCCATCTAGGAAGTGTCCTACGTGTGACATGTACTCATTCTGTCCCACAAAATTTAACTGCCTAGTATCCCGCTCCCTCTGAATTTTGCTCACAAAGGGACTGCCCAACTTGAAAAGTTGATTATATCCACAGCATGAATGTCAAATAACTGATATACATGTGTGTGTGTAGATATGTGTGTGTGTGCACAAAAATTGATTATATCCACAGCATGAATGACAAATAACTGATATATGTGTGTGATATACATAGACACACACATATATATATATATACATACACGTGTCAGTTATTTGCCATTCGTGCTGTGGATATAATCAATTTTTCAAGATATATATATATATACACATATATATATATACATACACATATATATACATATATATACATATATATATGCATATATATATGCATATATATACATATATATATATACATATATGTGTATATATATATGCATATATATATATACATACACATATATATACATATATATATACATATATATATGCATATATATATACATATATATATACATATATATGTGTATATAGCTCCCAAATATTTTAATTTTAACAGTGCCTTTAATGCCATAATCAAAAGGACTTAGTAATAGGAAAATTTAAAGCATTGCAGAAGAGATCCTAAGGGGAAGGAAAATGTTTTCCAGCAGCCCTCAAAATGTACCATATAAATGGTGGCCACCTGCTTACAAATAAGGAGAGGAAAGGAAAGGGAATAAGCATTTACATAGCACCTACTGTATGTCAGGCACTCTGCTGAGTGCTTTACAAACAATCTTGGGAGGTGGGTGCTGGTAGTATCCCTGTTTTACAGATGAGAAAATTGAGGCAAACAGAGGTTAATTGACTTGCCCAGGGTCATACAGCTAAATAAGTGTCCAGAGCTGGACTTGAGCTCAGGTCTTCCTGACTCCAGGCCTAGTACTCCATCCACTGTACCACCGAGTTGCCCAAAATCTGGCTCTGACCAGTATTTTTATGAAATCTTGGTTCTGCTACTCCTCTTAACCTTGGGGATGGGGGAAAGAATAAAAAATAGTAATAATAACAGTGTATTTTCCATGTACAAATATTATGCCCATTCTCAGTTTTCAGTGGTATTGCTATTTTCACTAAACTTTTTCTTTACTTCTTACTCTGCCTTTCTTAGAACCAAAGCATCACATTTGCAAGACCCTCTACTACAATTAGAGGTGTCATCCATAGTCAGGAAGCAGTTTTCTCCATGGGAAACTAATATGAAAGAGCATTACATACATGAATCCTTTAGTCTCATTGGCCTAATTAGCATTCCATTTGAAATCTACATGAATCCTAAACCAGAAATGTTTAACATGTATCATTTTTTTTAGAAAGTTTTCACCCCACTGGAATCTAAAATACAACAAAGTAAGGATTAATGTGCCTTTTGAAATTAAACAAATAATAAACCCAGGAACTATATACTTTAACTTTTATTTGAAAGGAGCTAAAGGAATATAAAACCACTTATCACTAAGAGACTCTGTAGCCCCTATTTGTCATCTTTCTGAAAGGCCCACTGCTTACATTCCATATCTTTTCCGTAATAACATGATAAAATATCTCAGCAAAATTATGAGATCCAAATTTCACAAGACTGCAACATGCATAAGGCCTAAAGCTATTCCCCAATAAAAACCCGCTTTCTGGAAGAACAGATACAAAATATACTCTGAAGTATGCCTGTTTGCTAAAATGAAGAAATCTAATAACAGTAAAAAGTTGTATGCAGTCATTCTCCTAGGCTGAATATGCTTCTTCCAAAATAGGAAAAGGAATTCACTGACCCAGGAACGCTGGACTGGGATGCAAGAGGCCTAGGCCTAACTCCTACACCTCCAATGTGTGGCCTTAGGCTTTTGAATCATTACACATTTGGGGACTCAGAGTTTCCTTATCTGTAAAATGGGGAAGGAGAACTAGATGATCTCTCTGGTCCCTTCTAGCTCTGATGCTTTATGATTCACACAGTTAATTCTTGTTAACTCTTTGTGCCTTAATGCCTCATAAATGAACAAGTGACAACTTCAACACAATCTGTCTCTTTGCTGACAATGAATAGAAATCAGAAGATGCCTGTGTTTCTTGAGCACCTTTTTTTTGTGGTAAAGAATAGATTTATTGAGTATACTGGGAAAAGGAAAAAGTGATTGGTGGTGCACCTGAGATTTCTGAAATTAGAAAGCTATTGGTTAGCCTTGGTATTATGAGCTTCCAGAGGGCTTAGGAACAATGTGCATTCTGAACTCAGTGTATTCACTCAGGGGCCTCAAAGCACAACAGGTGTAGTTGTCCTTCTGTCTGCCAGAGATTTATACTCCTGACGTATTTATGCACCTACAGTTTAAAGCACCATCCATTCTTCTAAAAAAAAAAATTAACTCTCTGGAGAGAAAAGTAATCATTTGTTGCGTTATCCAACAACTGTTATAAAGCTATTCTCATTAGAAGATCTATGTGTTACCTCTATTCCTCAGTTTCCTATAAATGAAAAATGTACTCCCTTTTCCCTCACAGGCATAAGGAAAGTAAGCCTGAGATACAATTCGTAAATCTTTTTAGTTCCTAAGAGATGAAAAATATGTATTTGAGAAGGGAAAAAGAAACACAAACACTACTATCTTTTCACCTATGTAAAAGAGGAAGCATTTTGAATACAAGGCAAAATGAGAGTGATAGAAGATTCCCTTACCTTAGGGACTCTTTAATTTCCACCCATGTGCAGCTAAGTCCTTTCTGTCCTAGAGCCTGAGGTGTCGGGTGCTAGTTTCTACACTGCCAACAAGAGGATCATTATGTTTCTATGGCCATAACTAGTGACTATAGGAAGCTGAGTGAATTTCCAAATGGTTAGACTCAATTATCCTTTAACAGCCTTGCAAATTGGTGGTGCAGATATTTCCGGGATCCTTCCTACACTTACCAATATCTCAGCAATGATATGTCAGTTCAGAATAAGAATCAGTAACTAAAAAAGTAAAATGTCAGAGTTGTCCATCATATCCATTTTTTAAATTTTTATTGAATATTTTATTTTCCACACTTACATGTAAAAACAATTTTAATGTTCATTTTTAAAATTTTGACTTCCAAATTCTCTTCCTTCCTCCCGTTCCACTACCCCCTCATTGAGAAGACAAGCAGTTTGATATAGTGTTTAGTCATGTTGTGACCCTCTCACATAGACCCCTTCAAAAAAAAAACTTTTGAGAAACAATTAAAAAAAAGTATACTTCAATCTGTATTCAGACACCATCAGTTCTTGCTCTGGTGATGGATAGCATTTTTCGTTATAAGTTGTTCAGAGTTGTCTTAGATCATTTTATTGCTTAGAATAGCTGAGTCATTCACAGCTGATCATCTTATAATATTGCTGTTACTTTGTACATAGTACATTCCACTTTGTATCAGCTCATGTAAGTTTTTCCAGGGTTTTCTGAGAACATCTTGCTCATCATTTCTTGTAGCACAATAGTATTCCATCATAATCACATACCACAGTTTGTTTAGCCATTCTCCAGTTGATGGGCATCCCCCTCAATTTCTAATTCTTTGCCACCAGAAAAGAGCTGCTATAATAGTTTTGTACATATAGGTCCTTTTCCTTTTTGTTTTTTATCTCTTTTGGGATACAGACCTAGCAGTGGTATTGCCAGGTCAAAGGGTATTCGTGGTTTTATAGCCCTTTGGGCTTAGTTCCAAATTATTCTACAGAATGGTTGAATTGGTTCACAACTTCACCAACAGTGCATTAATGTCTCATTTTTCCCACATCCCCTCCAACATTTGTCATTTACCTTTTCTGTCCTGTTAGCCAATCTAATAGGTATGAGGTAGTACCTCAGAATTGTTTTAATTTGCATTTCTCCAATCAATAGTGAGTTACAGCATTTTTTCATATGGCTATAGATAGCTTTGATTACTTCATCTGAAAACTTTTTATATCTTTTGATCATTTATCAGTTGGGGAATGGCTACTTTAATAAATTTGACTTAGTTCTCTATGTTTGAGAAATGGGGCCTTTCAGAAAAGCTTGCCTCAAAATTTTTTCACAGTTACTATTGCTAACTGTATTTTCCTCCACTCTATTCCCCTCTCCCCTGTTTATTCTATTCTCTTTCTCCTTTCACCCTATCTCTCCGCAAAAGTGTTTTGCTTCTGACTACCCCTACCCCTAATCTGC